CTTGGTAACCCTTCCTAGAGGAAACCTCAGGCTAGAGAGCTGAGTCTCAAGTATGAGAGCCTTTAGATGTTGGAAAAGCAAAGAAGGCAAAGACAGGGAAGGGATTTGGTTTCTCAAAGGTTTACCTAGATTAGTCTCACCATCAATGACAAGGCACAGATGTCTAAGCAGCTCCTTGGATATCAGTACTGCACCATGTTTGGTTTTAAAAATGTTGTTGTTGTTGTTGTTGTTGTTGTTGTTGTTGTTGTTGTTGTTGTTGTTGTTGTTGTTCTTCTTCTTCTTCTTCTTCTTCTTCTTCTTCTTCTTCTTCTTCTTCTTCTTCTTCTTCTTCTTCTTCTTCTTCTTCTTCTTCTTCTTCTTCTTCTTCTTCTTCTTCGTTTTAAGACAGGCTCTCTTTATGTAGTCCTGGTCATTCTGGAATTTGATATGTAGACCAGGCTGGCCTCAAACTCAGAGATCCACCCAAGACTGCCTTCCTGGGATTAAAGGTTTGCACCATTGCACCTGACTTGTTTATTTTTTATGTGCATGGCTGTTTTACTTGCATGTGTGTATGTGCACCGCAAGTGTTCATAGTGCCCAGAGAGACCAAAAGAGGGTGACAAATTCCCTTAGGACTGGAGTTACAGATGGGTGTAGATGCTGGGAACGTAACCAGGGTCTGTCAAAGAGCAGTATTTGTGAGGTATTTTTCAACTTCTCAGTATTGAACGTAGATGTCCCGGTAAGTAAATATCAACCCCAGAAACCAATGTGTAAAGGCTCCAGCAAGGAAATGGGGAAAATCTGCCTTAGTCTCTTTTTCTGTTGCTTCAGTAAAATGCATGACAAAGAAAACTTAAGGTAGAAAAGGTTTATTTGGCTCACAGTTCCAGGGTATAGTGCACATAGTGAGGAGGTCAAAGCAGCAAGAGCTGGAAGCAGCTGGTCACATGAGATCTGGAAGCAGGAAGAAGACAAAGTGAACACACCCGGTCTCCTTTCTGATGCCGCCCACAGTGGGCAGATCTCACCTCGGTTGACACGATCAGACAATCTCCGACATGCCCATGCCTGGAGGTCCTCCGGCTTCTGGAAAACTGTCTCGGCTTAACTTTCTGATCAGATTTATCTGTCTCCCCATTAGTGTGTCAGTTTTTGTCTCATATATTTTTAAATTCTGTTGCTGCATGTATGTGTATATGCATATATTACTTTTATGTCTTTTTAACATTTTATCACTAATAGGTGATCGTTATCACTTCTTATCTAATAGTCTCTTTTTCTAATATGAGTTTGGCCACATCACTTTTCTTTTTTCTTTCTTTTTTTTTTTCCATTTCTTTTTTAAAAAATTGTTTTTAGGGCCGGAACGATGGCTAAGCAGGTAAAGGCACTGTCACCAAGCCTGTGACCTGAGTTTGACCCCTGGGACCCTCATGGTGAAAGGAGAGAGAACCGACTCCTGCAAGTGCCCTCTGACTTCCACACGTGCACTGTGGTACGCACATGTCTACACACACGCGCACACACACACATTAATAAAATGTAATGAAAATTTTATAAAAATATTTAAAAATAATAAAATGTAGTGAAAATTGTCTTTAGGTGTTCGTTTTGTTTTCGCACTGTTGGAAATCAAACCCAGGAGCTCATGCATGTCAGACAAACATCCTATTCCAGCATTTTCAGTTGGTCGCTCTTTTCAGTTCTTAGTGTTGAACCCAAGTCCTTCTGCATGCTAGCCAAGCGCTCTTTTTCTTTCTTTTTCTCTTGAGACAGTCTCACTGTGTGGCCCACTCTGGCCTCGAACTCAGTCTTCCTGCGCAGTTTTCTGAGTGCTGTGACCACAGGCCTGTGCGTCTTAATGAGCTTTCTCTTGTTTTATTAAATTTGAACTGAAATGACTCAAACAGCATCCCCAAGGCCAGTGCACATCATTCCATAAAGGGATATTCTGTTACCATTTTCATTAATTGGCTACTTAATTAATTAAATTTTGAGGCTGGATCTCTGTAGCCCAGGCTGGCCTGGAACTCAAAGAGATCCACCTGCCTCTGCCTCTTGAGTGCTGGAATTAAAGGTGTGTGCACCATGCTTGTCCCTCTCGTCCTTTGATATTTATGTGTTTATTTCTTTATATGTTAGACAGGGTCTTACTGTGTAGCCCTGGCTGGCCTAAACTTTCTATGTAGACCAGACTGGCCTGAGTTCACAGAGGTCAACTGCATTTGCCTCTGGTGTGCTAGTAGCAAGGGGGTGTGCCACCATGCCTGGCTGGCCCCTCCTTTTATAATTCTGAAACAGGGACAGGCATGGTGGCACATGCCTATAATCCCCGCACAGTCTGAGACAGTAAGGATCACGAGTTCAGGGCTTGTGTAGGCACATGTCAAGTTCAAGGCCGGTTTATATAGTGAGACGCAATCTCTTGAAAGAATGAACCAAACCACACTGTCAGCCAGTGCAGCTTTCTCTATGGCTTGTTTAACATGTTTACAGCAGATGGTTTGATTCTGTGACTGCTCCTTCTAGCTACTAACTCTCGCCTTTATCTTTTACTGACATCTTCCCTTTGGTTATTCTTCCATTTTCCTGCTTCTCCTCTGATACTTAGAATACCAGTCTCCGTGAGTGACAAACTGCAGAGACTCTGGCTTCTATTTCCTCTGCTATGTCCTCGGTTTTGCTCTAGCAATTCGATAAATGGGAATCACCTTGATTCTTATTTTTTACCTTTTCCATTCTCCTCAGGGGGAGGAGATACATGTGTCTGTGTGCATGCTTGCATGCGTGTGGGCTTACAGGTGTGTGTGATGTGGAGGTTGGAGGTGCATGTGTCTGTGTGCATGTTTGCATGCATGTGGACTTACCAGTGTATGTGATGTGTGTGTATGCTGGCATGCATGTGAGCTTACCAGTGTGTGTGATGTGTGGTGTGTGTGTGTGTGTGTGTGTGTGTGCTGGCATGCATGTGGGCTTACTAGTGTGTGTGATGTGTGTGCATCCTGGCATGCGTGTGGACTTACCAGTATGGGCTTACCAGTGTGTGTAATGTGGAGGCCAAGGTCAGTGTTGGGAATCACGAGCAAAACTCTTCTACCTCACTGAGGCAGGGGCTCTCAATCAAGCCCAATGTGACTAGTCTTGCTAACCAGCTCTTTCTGGGTATCCCCATATCCCCTTTGCAAGGCTGGGATTACAGACAGACTATGATGCCAACCTGGCATATTTTGTAGCTTCTGGAGATCCAAAGTCTGGCCCCCATGCAACTACTGAGCCATCTCTGGAGGCTTAAAGCGGTGGTTCTCAACCTTCTCAAATGACCCTTTCACAAGTGTCACTAAGACCATTGGAAAATACAGATAGTTACATCATGATTCATAATCATAGCAAAACTACAGTTAAATAATTCTATGATTGGGGGTCACCACAACGTGAGGACCGGTATTAAAGGGTTGTGGCATTAGGAAGGTTGGAAATCACTGCTTTAAAGAGCAGAGATCTTTAGATTTGCTTAGCCTCGTGGTTTTCAGTGGGGAAAGTGTTGTTAACCCAGCCCCTGTAAGTCGGTAGAAATGAAACTCCCAATTTTCTACCTTCCCAACACAGGTGCTGCTAAGGTCCCTCTCAAATTATTGAAACCCCCTCCCATCTTTCCCAGTGAGCTTTGTACCTGCCTCTGTACTTACAGGTCAGGAACAAGCCTGTGATGGAGGGGGTATAAGAACATCTGAAGGCTCCCCAAGTCCTTTTCCTTTTTAAGGTGTCCTCCTCTAGTTTCCAGCTGTATAGACAGCCTTAACCTCTCACCTCTGCTGACTTATCCCAACTAGACCACAGCGCTCTGCCTGAGTGAGCTTCCTTCATGTCATTGCTGCAGGAAGCCAGCAGCTGAGAGTAGCCCTCACCTAGCCCCCCTTTGTCTTAGACTCACAACCTCATCACTACCTCCAAAGAGTTGGGGGATTTTGTTATTGTTGTTGTTGTTTGTTTAATTTTGCCAGGATTTGATTGGGCGAAGAGTTAGTCCAATATAAATTAACCTACCATTCCAGGAATCAGAATACCACCACCCTTCCATGCCTCTCCACCTTGGCTTTCCTGGTTTAAAAATTAAAAAAAAAAAATCTTGCTGTTTATGCTTTATGAAAACTCTTTTGTTGCTTCCCAGAGGACATTGATAATGTCTTGCTTTTTATGTTTGATCTCTAGCATTTGAGTTACAGATTTTCTTCTGGTTGTCCGAGGGCTGGCAGAGTGCCTGCCTAGCACAGATAAGGCCCTGGGTATTGCAATACTCAGGAAACACCCACTGGGGTGTTGAATTTAAGTGGTAGCTCAGTGGCTCCAAAGGCCAGCATCTTGACACATGCACTCCTTGGAGTCCCCAGAGTAGCTTTCACCAGTGTCTTCCCCAGAGGGCACATGCTCAGCTGCCTGCACTCTGGAAGCTCCCCGGGAACGCGGCTGAAGGGTCACCACTTAAAGCCCACTCACCTGCTCTCTCAAATGCGCTTGACACCTGTTATCTCAGACGTACACAGCCGTGGTGGGAAGCAGTCAGTTGCCCGTGGACTTGGGCTCCAGAGAGCCCTGGAGTGCTTCTCCAGCCCCCGTCAGCTCATCTTACTTCCGTTGTCCCCCTCCAATTCCTGGTATCACTTTCTGAGCCCTTTGAGGACTCTTTGAACTGGGCTCTCAGGTTCACAGTCAGCCTTAGGTCTAACTTTTGGGCACGTGCGTGCGTGCGTGTGTGTGTGTGTGCGCGCGCGCGCACGCGCATGCATGTGTGTATGTGTGTGTGCATGTGTGTGTGTTTGTGCACACACACGCTCTCATACATGCATATATGTGAGGCCACACATAGAAAGGACAACTCCCTTCACTGGGTTCTAGGGATCAAATCCAGGTCATCAGACTTGCCCACGAGCAAGTGCCTTTTACCTCCTGAGCCGTCTCACTGGCCCGGGTCTGGTTTCTTAAATACACAGTCTCACTCGCCATCTGCTTTCCAGCCTCCAAGATTCGGATGGTGAATTCTCTGGTTTTCGGAAGGGGAGGACATGAACTCGGAAGCCTGCAACTAGAGACTGTAAAAGAGATTGCTTTTGTGGCATCGGTTGGTCAGAGGGCAGAGTCTCCGAGTCCACGGGCTTCAAGCACTTCTGAGTAGTCAAACCGATAGGGAACATTTGGCAGAAAACAAAGTAAGTGCTCATGATTCGGAGTTAGCGATGGCCGAAGTGGCCAGTGTAGATGAACACATTTGCGCATGAGCAGAAAGAGAAATGACCCAGGCTACCTCTAGGCTTGGAAGGAGACCTGGGGATTAGACCTTTTCCTGAGGCCGTCTGCTACTGCTGCCTGTGTACCTGGAGTCCTGAAGGCACCCACTGTTCTTGCTTCAGGGAAATGTGTTGGGGCTGGGGAAGGTCTGGAAAGGAAGGAAGCAAGGAAATGAAAGCTCCATGAGGGCCGATGTGAGCACTGGGACTCGGCTGGGATATTTAGAGGTGGTGTGTCTCAGCCAGTGTGGGGAAAGCTGATATGAGCCTGGACTCCATATTCCGAGCAAACAGCTAACAGAGAGGGTTGCTCTGAACACCAAACAGGTAAGTTCAGCAAAACTTCACCATGGTAGGTCAGAAACATGGCCTCTGTGTAATATATTCAAGCTGGTGGTCCTTTTCTGTTGGGACGAGTGAATAACAGGGTCCACACCTTTCCCACTGGTGGTATGGGAACAGACTTCTGAGAGATATTGGAACACTCATAACTCAGACATTGAAATATACTCTTTTTGGGCTGTTACTAGAACATTGGGCCGGATGGAGAATTGGAAACTCAGTGGAGTGGGAAAAACTTGATTTGAGTTCAAATCTTGCCTCTGGTGTACTCACTGTGTGCCCTTAAGCAAGTGCTCCATCTTTCTGATCTCCCTAAGGTTCTGGCAATGCTTAAAGCAATTACATAACACACAAGAGGACCAGGAAAGTAGCTGTTTATTGATTCCTGAACCGAATTTGAACCTCTTAACACGTTTGATGAGTCCCTGTTGGATACCAGGCTGTGCGTATGTGTTCCCAGAACTCTCATGAAGTGATGCCCTAGCTGAGCCCCATCCTCTGTCCCTCAGGATCAAACCTGTAAAAGTAAACATTTTGGTTCTGCTTGGGCAGCAGTGAGTGATGGGAGAAAATGTCCAAGCATCCTCCACACCCTGCTATGTCATGGAAGACAGCAGCGATAATGCTGGCAGCCGTGTCTGCTGCTCAGTTAGTTTCTGTCACGTGTCCAGATGTGCAGTGCTGACAGAGTCAGGGCGGTTCTGACACTGAGACACTTGGGGCTCAAAGTGTCTCCTGCAGAGTGTATTTAAAACCCCTGAGGGTTACATCACGATGTCAGCAGCGGCTGAAGACAGCGTGGACTGCTCCCAGGTGGCTGTGCTCACTTCCTCCAAATCGGCAGGAAGTTCCGTAAGTTCTGTGGATGAACACAGAACCACTGGCCAGCTTAACTTTGATGCTTCTGTGTCACTTGGACATTTTCTTGACCTAGGTGAACTTTCCCTTTGGTCTATCTCTAAACTATACCATGAGCCATCTTTTCCCTAGCAGTTGCCCTGATGGTGGGGAGGCTTCTGCCCTCTGGGTTTAAGTTTCCTTCCATTTCCAGAAACCATTTAGCCTTGATCTTGTTTCTTCCCTTCTCCAGAACTTACCTGCTGCGTGTCCGACTGAGCTATCCCTATTCCATCCTGTTCTTCAAGACCTGCTGCTATTCCGCTGGTGGTCACAGCCATGCCTGGAAAAAAGGTGGTCCCTTCAGTGGGAGAGCTCCGTGTACAGCCCTTGGAGGCCTCAGGGGGCAGGGAAGAAACTGTAGGAGCGCACAATTCCTATCTGCGACTCCATGTGTGTGCCCGTGGCACCTAGCTTCCTTCCCGGAGACCTTGCTGTCCCAGACTGGACCTGTCTGAGAACCGAGACAAGCAGAGAGCTACTAGCCTCCTTGCTTCCTAGTTCCCAGCTCCCAGGAGCAGCTAGCTCAGCCATGGAGGCTGCCGAGAGCCTGGAGTCCCACTGCCCTGCATGTGTCCGTCCTACTGTTTCCTGCTGTGAAATTATGTACAGGAGGGATGCGGCGTCTTTCTGAGTGGCTTCCCCTTCAGAACGTGCCAGTGTTTCTGTTGTTCACAATACTTCCCTGCTGCTGCATTTCTAGGCTTTTTCTCCGTAGGCTGCCTTTCTCTCCTCACCGGGGAAGTTACTGTTTCCTATCCGCACCCTTACAGGCTTTGCTCCCCGACTCTGTGGGCCACAGGGTCTGGGGCACAGACACTTCTTGACCTTGGCCAGCCTGCAAGTGACTCTCAGCCATCTGCTTTGTCACTGGAGAGGAACTGGGGTTGGACTGGTTTCCCTTGGGTCCTGGAGAGCTCTGCAGAGAGCAGGTGTCAATCACGCCGAGCGTGCACATCATTGTGACAATCTGTTGGCTTACTGCCCTCTCCCCTTATAGCTAAACCAGCTGACAGAGCCCTATAGCTGGGGTGGAGGGGTCCTTTAGTGGGTCACAAATCTCCCCATTTTATTTTAAGTAGACTCTGTTGGGCCTGAGGGTGGGGTAAAGGATGGAACCTTTGTAGATATGAATCTGTGTAGATGGCTTTGTGATTCCTTACTCCTCCTGCATTTTTGTGAGCATATATACAGGGGCCCCTGGAGACCTGCCTATTTTACTGCCCTGGCTGCAGCCCTCAGTGACATCCCAGATGGCTCCTCTGCCAGCCTCCACACTTAACTGCAGTCACCAAAGTAAGTCCCTGAGCAGAGGACGTGGCCACCTCTCCATTAGCAGGGACAGGCTGTGGAGCCTAGAGTCCCAGCACTGTGACAGACAATTAGAGTCTGACCTTGTGGCCACCTTGGGGCTTGGGTCTTGAAGCAGCTCGGTGGCTGATAGGAGGTGCTCCAAAGCAGCTGGTTGCAGGACAGAGTGGCTGCAGCTGGAACTGACCTCCCCACACCCACCGAGAAGAGATGGTGAAATCTGGAAGTCTGTGTTCCATGCAGCAGAGAGAAAGGGTGTGTGGTTGAGGACGATGTCAGAGTTCCAGCTGCCTTGTCCCTTGTCCTCTCCCAGTACTCTCTCTGGGGGAAGAATTGCATTTCTGCCTTTTTTTTTTTTTTGGCAGGATTTCTCTGTAACTTTAGAGCCTGTCATGGAACTTGCTTTGCAGATCATCAGGCTGGCTCGAACTCACAGAGATCCTCCTGTCTCTGCCTCCTGAGTGCTGGGATTAAAGGTGTGTATGCCGCCACTGCCTGGCTAGGAATTGCTTTTCGTCATAGGCCTCCACACAGCTATGACAAGTTGGCACTACTGCTGGGCCATGGCTTGGGGGGGGGGGGGGGGGGCTGGGTCAGCGGTGCTCCAGGAAACGTGCAAGTGGCTGGTGTTTATATCCCTATAGAGTTCCCATCGGAAAAGACCCAAGAGATGGAGAACTGGGGTATGTCCTCTCTAAAGAAAAGGAAGAGAGAACACAATTGTCTGTCTCTGGGCCCGCCCTGGGATTATGTGGCCTACAGACACAGGGAGAAGTGCTTGCTTGCTTTGCCTCCCTGCTCACCTTCCTTTTTACCCTGTCACATCCTGCTAACACCCATCCTGATGACGGAGGCCTCATTCTCTCTACCAAGTCCAAGAGGTCCGGAGAAGGTCCTCCACAGGGCTGGTAGAGGCACAGGAGGCCTGCCCTAGCCTAGGTCACAGTTAGCTTTGGGAAAAGCACAGCTCGTTTTGAGCACCATGGATCCAGAATGTTCCTTCTCTCCTTGTATGTGCGAGCTGGCTCTTGCAGCCCCACCCTCCCTACATAACTAAGTGTACTTGTTGCTCCTGGTAACTGGGAAGACACAGAATGCTGAAGAAATGTTCCAGAAGAAATACGAGAGGTTCCAAGGGACCCCGTCTTTTGTCTTTGCCTTTCTGAGCACTTGGTGCTGAGAAGGTTTCCCATCACGGCCTTTCTGGGCCCATAGTGTTGCCATCGTGTGTGCCAATGGCATGTCCCCGTTGCTCCGTGAGCAGATGAGTAGACGAACTGAGGCTATATCTTCACAGGCCTTTAGTAGTGCTAGGCCCTCCGGGGAGGATACAAGAAACTGCAAGGCTTCCCTTCTGTCCCCAGACATTAGCACCACTCTAACAGACTAAGGGTGTGCAAAAGCAGGGGACCAAAGGAAGTTGCTGGAAGCTCCCACAGTACTGCTTTGTCTGTGGCCCAATGTCTGTCACTCAGGGCTCAGCCAGGAAAGCAAAACTTCTTTTTAGGGTTTGTACAGAAGCAAGGACAGTGGGGGGCGGGGGGAAGTACAGTGAAGAGGCCAGGGCCACTGGGAAGGAGCCACAGCCATGAGGAGTCAGAGAGGGGAGAAGGAACTTGGCCTCTTCCTCCTGCCCTATGGATTTCTGTGGGTGCCTCCCACTAGCTGGCTCCAGCCAGAAGCCAACTATCCGGGGAACATGCAGGCGCAGCTCCCAGCATGCAACAGAGGAGAGCAGGGGATGGCTGGTGAGCATCCCTGCAGCAGGTGCAGCTGTGTCTGCAGAGCCTGGCAGTACTGAGACCTTGGGGAAGGAGGCAGAGGAGTGGCCTGCTTGGGTTTTCATTCTGCTGGGGAGGAAAGAGATTTACTGGGAGGAAGAGAAAGCCTTTCCTCACAGCTGTCCCTGATTTCCTTTGAAGTAACTTGCCCACCCAAGCACCCTGCCTTGTGCTTCCTTCTGGAAAGCCATGTCCTGGTTTCCCTGAGCCCCACCTGCCTGTTCCTCTCCTCTGAGTCTCTGGTTCCTCCCCCTCCCCCCGCCACGAGCACTAACCAGAGCAGGCCTCAGTGCTCGGGAAAACTCTCTCCCACGCCAAGCCAGTGTGGCCTGTGTGTCTGTAGGAGAGACTATCTATCTGTCAGTTTGTATTGTGTTTCCAATAAATTTCTGAAAATCCTGCCTGGTGTCACGGCGTCTTTTACTGGGCTCAGCAGGGTGGTTCTGCTCATGCTCCCTCCAGACTTTGGTGTCTGGGGGACCTCATCTATGGGACTCTGTGCCACTGCATGCTCCCAGGGTCTAGGAGAGGTAACAGACCACCCCCAAACTCTCAGCCACCGTTCTCCCAGGTTGAATGTGCTGTTATTGACTCAGCAGCCACATCCTGAGAATGTGGTAGCTTCAGGAAGCTGTGCCCTCAAATAAATGACTTTGTGTTGCTTAGGCCTACAGGAGGGAGCAACAGGCAGATCTCGCCCCATTGGTCACCCAGAGTCACTTCTGCACAGCTGTGGCTAACACTGCATCCTGGGGACACATGCTGGGGTGCTTGGGGAGGTGCAGAGGAAGTTGCCGTGCTCTGGTGCAGGGCTGCCATGTCAGGTGACTGAGCGTACTGCCTCAATTGCCCTGCTGAGGCAATTATAGGATAAAGTAAGTGGAAACTCACAAGAGACCCTTCCAACCTGTGTGTAGGACCCTGGTTTGCTGGGCTACATGATAGGTGATTTAAAAAACAAAACCAAAGGAGAGGATGTATTGGTTGGGGTTGCTTAGATATTGTTTATTTTTAAAATAAGCATTATTTGGTTTTGTTCAAATATGTATGTATGTATGCAGGTGGGTTTCTATTGCCACAGAACATATGTGGAGGTCAGGGGATAGCTCCTGTAGCTCCTTCCTTCTACCACGGAGGTCCTGAGGCTAGAACTCAGACTGTTAGGTTGTCTGCGTGCACCCTGCACGCCATCTCTTGGGCCCAGGAACAATAGACACAAAGGGGGATTTAGTACATTGGCCCCTTGTCAACTGGATAATCACATTTCCTTATGTCATTCTTACTTGTCCAATGAAAACAATAATAAAGTCATAATGCCACCTAAAATGGAATAACTATCTCACATACTACCACAAATATACTATCCCTGACCCCTGAGAATAAGTGTCCACGTCCCTTGAGAAATGCTTAGCTTTTTAGTGTCCTGTAACTTAGGTACGATGATATGTATTTACAGCACCTACATGTGAATATTATCTCACTATTACACTACACAAACAAAAGAAAGCAAATATCTGCTTAAAGAATAATCATTTTTAAAAAATATTTATTTATTTATTATGTATACAATATTCTGTCTGTGTGTATGTCTGCAGGCCAGAAGAGGGCACCAGACCTCATTACAGATGGTTGTGAGCCACCATGTGGTTGCCGGGAATTGAACTCAGGACCTTTGGAAGAACAGGCAATGCTCTTAACCACTGAGCCATCTCTCCAGCCCCAAGAATAATCATTCTTTTATATAGCATTTTATTTATTCTTTGATCATTTCATGTATGTATACAATGTAATTTTATCACATCCAACTCCCTCTGGACATTGTCCCCAACTTCATGTCCTTTTTTTTCCCCCCTCACAACTCACTGAATCCTATCTGTGGGGTCCACATGTGTGCAGGTGTGGGACCTGCCACTGGAGCAAAGGTTACCTGCCAGCAGCCACACTCCCAAAGGAAAATGACTTTCTGGGACCTGGATGGCTGGGGGGGGGGGGCGGGTGGTAAGAGCACTGCTCTTGCAAACAAGCCAGGTTTGGCTCCCAGCACACACATGGCAGCTAACAACCCTCTGTAACTCCAGTTCCAGGGAATCTGGCACCCTCTGCTGGTCTCCGTGGGCAATGCAGACACATGGTGCACAGATACACCCATAGGCAAGACACCTATACACATAAAATAAAAATAAATCTAAAGTATTTTTTAAAGAAAAGAGAAATGACTTTTCCTCCCTAGCAGCCACCAGCTGCCAAAAGCTCTTCAGCGTGGATAGTTCCTCATGGGCCCCTGTCCCATTCATGCTGGAATATTGACTGATCTTGTACAGGTAACTGCAGCTACCACGACTTCCTGAGCACAATGGCCGTGTTAGTCCAGCACTCCCCATCCCCTGGTCCATACATATTTGTGATCCTTGGGGTTGGGGAGATTGTTTTAACGTCTTTAGGACAAAACACCCACAGTTGCTCTCCCTCAGCACTTGACCTGTTAGTTACGCATCTCTATATTAACCCCACCATTGTTTGTTTTTATTCTTTACTATTTGTGCTCTTTTGAGCGGCCCGCCACCCAGCTCCCAAATAATCACACACGGAGGCTTACACTTTTTCATGAATGCCTGGCCTTAGCCTGGCCTGTTTCTAAGCAGCTTTTCTTAAATTATCCTGTCTACCCCTTGCCTCTGGGCTTCCCTCCTTCTCCACTTCCTGCCAGCTAGTGGCTGACTCAGCCTCCTGACTCCGGGTTAATTTTATTTAATCAAACAAATGTAACACGTCTTTGAATCAAATATTCCACAGCATAAAGGAATGCAATACATCTAAAATTAATATTCCACAACATCCTGACACTGCAAAAGGTTTCTCCAATCAAGGCTGATGTCAGCAGCACAAATGTATGGATAGAACAATAAATATTTAGAAGGTACTGGACAACATGCTATTCGGCAGGACAACTGTAGCAGGTTCCCCTCTAGAACCTGTGCCTCCCCCGCCCCAGCCACAGGATTCTGACCAGGCATGAATTCCCTCCTGGGTAACAGGCCTCATATGCTACCCCATAATAATCATGCCACTTTTGCCCCAGTGGGCACATCTTGGCAGATCAGTACTGTAGCATGCAGGTTTCAGACAAATATAGTTTTAACAAAATAAGACAGAAGCACCCAGTGGCCGCTGCATCATCATGTCTTTAACTGGTCACATGGCCTTACCTGGAATTTATAGCTTACCTTCCTCTAGCACCCACTCTGCATTTCCTCCGCTCCCAGAAGCCCCTCGGTGGGTCTCGTTACTCATCCCTTCATGCCTAAAGGATCTGGGCCATTTATCCGCCCACTTGGATTGGGTTGTTGTCATTTCCTATTGACCTTAGTGGCAACACTAAGAGAGTACACCCCAAAGGGTCTCTTGCACTCCAGATACTCTTCCTTATTTCCTTTGTGGAAAAGCAGTCCAGTTTCTTCCTATAGTACAGATCAATAACTCTTCCCAATGCTGTGACTTCTGCATTAGTCTCTTGACTCAAAGATACCAGGAGCACAAAGCATCCAGGACAAAGTCAAACCTACCTCCCAAATCATCTTTTAAAACTTAGATTCATTTATTTAGTGTGTGTATGCTGGTGCACATGTTCCATTGTGTGTGTGTGTGTGTGTGTGTGTGTGTGTGTGACAACCTGTAGGAGTCAGTTCTCTCCTTCCGCCATGTGGGTGTTAGGACTGAACTCAGATTACCAGGCTTGGTGGCAAGTGACCTTAACCCATTGAGCCATTAGCTGGCCCTTAGCTTCCAGTTCAAAGGAATGTTTGCTTGTAGCTCCTGGACATATCCAAAAATGTCCTCATACCCTAGAGCCAAAATTTCTTGGCTAAGGGAGCATCAAGTCACAGGAACAGCACTGTGGGTGCTTGCGTCTCCAGGCCCCTTTTGGTACCATGCTTGGGGGCTCATGGGTAGGTTCTTCTTGGGGAGTTGGTTCTTGTATTCCAAGAACCAGGTGTTTGATCCTGCGCCATGCCCTAGTGTCTTACCCTACAGAGCCAAGTCTTTTAAGAATCTTTCCTTAGAGGTCAGCATTGTCCAAATGTCATCCCCTAGCTGAGAAGGGACCCTCCTCTATCAAGGACACACCTTCCTGCTACACTCACTCCTTTAGGCCTTTACAGTAGGGTATCCAGACTCAAGCCAGACGAACACTTACTCGCTGTGGAACCTGGAGAAAGTCACCCAACCTCCGAATTCTCATCTGCAAAATGGGACAATATCTATCTCGGGGCTAAAGAAATCAGCCCTATGGTCTTAGAATAGAGTGGTCCACAGTGCTTATCACTGCAAGCTCATTCCTACCCTTGTTCTCACCTCTCCCTCCTCCTCTTGGGCCACAAGACGACAGAACACTCAACCCACCAAAACCTCAGTCCTCTGCTTACCTCACTTTCTCTCCCTTTACTGGCAAAGAGACTGAAAGAGGAGACATGTGTCTCCATTACTTCAAATCTCAGTAATGCCTCAACCCATCACACTACTTTATGGTTTCCATTCTGCCCTGGTCCAGCCACTCACAGAACTTGCTGTCAATAAAGTCACTAATGACTGTCTAAAGCACCAAAAAGTCTAAGTGTCATCCCATCCGAGCACTCAAAACTGTGGCCACCCCCTCCTAATTTGCATTAACCTCTTTATGATCTACTCAGAGACTCAGTGAGATACTGCTCCTGGCTGCCCCACCCCCACAGGTTGGACTTGCACCCCTCATCTTCTTGCATGTTGGGATTGCAGGCATGTACCACCACACCTAAGCTTACAACTTTTCATGTCTTAGCAAGCTTTTTCCCCCCAATACAGTACTGGTCTATATTTTAAAACTATAGTACTAAACTATATACATATACTAGATAGATAGATAGATAGATAGATAGATAGATAGATAGATAGATAGATAGATAGATAGATAGAGACAGACAGACAGACAGACAGACAGGCAGACAGATAGTATATTACTATACTCTAGTAACATGCACTAGGCTCCCCTGCATCAGGTAGCTAGAGGGCACTTTTGAAAACGCTCTGTTCTTACACAAGGCACGCTCCCTTCACAAATGGTGGGGTTTTTTTTTTTTCATCTTTTCTAATGGAAATTTCTCTACTTGGGCAAAGAGATTGCCTTCCCTAATGTTCTCTTTTCCTCGCTCCAGCCCGCATCTTCTATTTAAAGCTTTCTTCTGGACATTTTTCTGGTTCTTTCATTTTGTGTGTGCCTCCTACCTGCAGGGACTTTTAAAGAATGCTTCTTGGTCCACTTTACTCTCTTCCTGAGAATGGCATCCATTACCATTACCTCTGCCTTCCCGGTCCAGCTCTGATGGTACTTCTGTGTGTTGTCTCCCTGGAGGCTTGCACACCCTGCACGCCAGGGTGTGCACTCAACCCTCTGTCCTCCCCTCTAAACCTGCTCTTCCGCCAGTGTTGTCACGAGGCAATGCTCACTCTTCACGGGTCATTTTCCCTGCTCAGCCTGGTGGTGCCCGTAAGCTCTGATTTTGTGTGCCTTTGTCAGGAATCGCGGCCTGAGGTCAAAGGAGAGTTTTCTACTCTTCACATAGCCTTTAGCTGTGTGGGAGGCCCAGGAAATGCTGGGTGAGCATTCATGACTACTGGCTCTTTGCTTTCCTGCCCCACTCACCCCTATGTAGGAATGCTGGGAGGAAAGCAATGGCTGCTGCTGTGTTGTACCCTCGGTAGGAGCAGCTTATACTGGGAGAAAGGCTACCAAATGCTGGCCCATACTCACACAGTATGAACTAGAGCCCCAACATCTCCAGTTCACTGTGTGCTCCCTCCTACTCCTCTCCTTACTTTAGAGAGAAGATGGTTCTCTGCTGTTCTTCTCCCTTGTTCCCTTCTTGCTCCCCGCAGGTACCTTCCTCTCTGGTGCTCTGTTGGCTTATTTCTGTCTTCCATCCTGTAGCAGACAAGGGCCAGAATCGTGGATTCCACTCCACAAATGGAGGAGCATGTCCAGAGAAAGGTACACGGGGCCAGATCAAGGGTGCCCTACTTTCCCTGGTGATCGCAGTGGTAATCTAAGGTCTACCTACAGCAGCACAAGGGCTCCTTTAGAGAAGGTAGGCCTGGGGAACTTGGGGCAGGCAGCAGGAGGGCTGGCAAGCATCAAGAGGGGCGCTGGCAAGCTCAGCAAAAACCTGAGCTTATAATCAGAACCACAGGAAGGCTCCAGGGCTGGCTGGGAGCTGGGTCCACACCTTCCCCAGGGACTCCTTAAGGCAGCCCTGGGCCTGTTCTAGGCAGGCAAAAACAGCAATGCAGACATGAGAGTATCTCAACATTTCTCTTACATTAGATTGGGCTGAAACAGCCAGCTAGTTTTAGAGATGGGGTAGGAGGCTCAGAGAGAGGTGTTGGCAGAAAGATGTCCAGAAAGGGGGCGGGGGGAATGAAGGCAATGCCATGTGGTATAGGCAAGGTTTTCTTGCCCTGACTTCCTGCTCCCAAATAACCAATACAAAAGACATAGTAATTAAAATTTCTGGCCAATAGTTCAGGCTTATTACTAAATAGCTCTTACAACTTAACCCATTTCTATTCATCTATGAGGCTCGTGGCTTTTACCTCTATCTCACTTTGTGTGTCCAACTGGTTCTGAGTCTGGCTGGCTACTCCTGACTCCACCCTTCTCTTTCCCAGCATTCTTAGTTTGGCTTTCCTGCCAAACCCTATTCCATTCAGCTATTGGCCGATCAATTTGTTTATTAAACCAATCACAGCGACAAATCTTCATAGTGTAGAAAGCAATTATTCTACAGCAACATGGTCTCACTCCAGCATGGGGGCTGCTCCAACCTCAGTGAGCACAAACCTGGGTAGACACCTGAACAATAGGGACTTTGGGTGGCCAACAGTGTGTCAGTTGGTCCATTAAGGGAGAGGCAGCTGACTTGGAAATGTTCAGTCTCAGGCTGAGGTTGACTGACCTGGGCTTGGCCTTCTGCTCCTTGGGACAGCCTTGGAGAGTGGTCCTACCAAGGGAAGTGGTCTGTGGAGTGTCCCTACCAATGTGGAAAAGACACGGTGACAGCAAAGGGAGGAGCAGATGGAGGCAAACAGTACAGACAGAAAAGCAGCCAGGACAGGAGTGACCTGGAGGCTGCGTAGGTGGTCCACAGCCCTTCCTGCCACCAGCTTTTCTCTGAGATGACTGGCGAGTTTTCAGAAAAGGGAAGTGGGTAGGGACAGCATGCAAACTGTATTCAAAATACATTCCTCCTATTGACTCCCAGCCTGCCTCCGTCTTGCCTGTTTTTTCTACTCTGCTGTGTCTCCCTCCTGGGCTTTTGCCCTGCTTTCCTGAGACCTCCTACACGATTCAAGCAGGCTAGCTAAAGTGGACGAAAACCCCAGACGGAACTGTGGAGAGGGGACTAGGTCCCATACTCAACACCCAGAAAGAACCCTGGAGAGCTGAGGCCCCCACCTTGGGACTATCTTCAGTGTCCCTATAGCAATAAAGGGAAATAAAGGGAAATATAGAAATAAAGGGAAACTTAAGTCCTTCCGGTCAAGAGAATTCTCTCTCTAGCCCGGGTGGAGACCTAGCACTCAGCTGGGCAGGTCAATCCCTTGACTGAGAGATCATTTCTAGGGAGGTAGATGTACTTTAAGCTGTGCTAAGGGGACGGGAGGAGCAATTATCCCTTGAGTGAGATGATGCAGTTTCCTTCCTAGAATTCCCATTCCCCTAGTGCAGTTGCTTCCGGAGGTGCAGCCGGATTACTCTGTAAGTCTTTTCTTCGGGAGAGCATAGCTCTCCTTCTTCTTCCTAGCTTGGGTCTAAGCACACTTTCTCTAACATCTAGGCTTCCTTATTTTCTCTAAAGCTTCCCTCCCCTTCCTCTTTAACATTTGGCTGCATGTCTGGCCCGACTCCAAAGGTGCTGCAGAGATTTATAGATTGCCTGCTTTGGGGTTTTCTGTTAAACTCTAATAAGGTTGTCCTCCGTAAAATCAGGTGCTGTCACCTTCATAGAGAGTCGTGAGGCAGGAAATGAGGAGGCCTGGCAGATGGAGCCACCCCTTCTGTGTTCTGACCTCAGAGCGTCTCCAGACATGCTGTGTTCTCTTCCCAGGTTTGGCACCCAGAAGCACAGTCAAGTAGATGCAGTGAAGCAGGGACCAGGCCACCCCAGACAGTGGATATTTGGAGGCACCCACGTGATCCTTCTTTACTTAGGCAAAGGTTTGGGGTAGGAAAGCACGGGCTCGTGTCACATCCCTCAGGGCCAGAACACCCCTCAGCAAAGTCAGGTCCTCTTTGCCCTCCAGTGGAATGTGTTGGAGCAGTAGGCCACCAGGCTGGGGGAGGGAGATAGGGTTCTAGTTCCCTAGATGAACCTCTGCCTCTAAGCCCAGGCCTGTTCTGTGTTGATGCAGGCTCAGGCTGTGCAGACGCAGGCTCAGGCTTCTCGCTGAAGTCCCTGGCTGAAGTCCCTCGCTGAGCCCAGGTGCCCAGGGAGGCTGTCCATGTCTCTTCATGGATGTCCCACTTCCCAGTCCTCCTCCCCTGTAGCAGTTGTGAGTAGTAACTAACTCTGGGGGCGGGGACTTATGTTGTAAAGATTTCCATTTTCCACAGTTAGCATGAATGACTTCCGTGATTGAGAAAGAAACTCATCAGAGTGGGGTTTGCTGTTTTTCAGTTAACAGCTAGTGAATGAATGGGAACAGAGAAAGAGACAGAGAGGCACTCAGCTGTACAACCACGGCGGGACCCGCACATGTGTGGGTCAGGGTTGCATACACTGGAGAAATGCCCATCCACAGAGGTGGTGACACCCTAAGGTCACTGGTGTTCCCAAACCCCAGACACGACACATCACAGAGGAGCACAGGCTCCTCCACCTATAACTCACGAGCCCTCGTTCACCAGGGGCCTTTATTGAGAGATTCCTCGGGGGCAGGATGGTGGGCTCATGGGGACAATACGTATCTAGCTGAACAGTGTGGGTCTATGGCTGTTAGAAGAGAGGGGAGCTGCTGGTGCCCTGGGAGTCTGGCATCCTGGGCTGAGGACGGCAGGAGAGTGGATGATAGGGAAAAGCCACAACCAAGCAAGGGGCCGGTTAAGGTGCTTCATGTCCATGAAGATGCAATGATCCTAGCAGAGCTATTTAGAAATGGCAGCTTCCAGGACAGCTCTCAGGCACCCTATGACTGCTTGGGGCCCACACATGAAGGTCACCTCAGTGGCTTCTTACAGGCAGGGTCCTGTGTCACAGACAAGGCCACAGAGCCTTGTGCTCGCTCCCACGTGTACCTGTGGAGACACAAATAGGCAGGAATCAGGCCTGACCCAGAGATGGGGGCAGTTGCACAGTTTTGGAAGGTCTTTGCATGTACTCACGAGGTCCCAGCGGGCACCAGCAGGCTGTCGTCTGGGGCCAGGCCAACACACTGTCCTCCCATTGTCACTGTAGAGGAACCCTCCTGCGAAAGAACAAAAGAATCAGATGGAGGTCAGTGAGCCTGAGCTACTCAGTGAAACCCTGTCTCAGTAAGAAAAGGGTGTGTGTTGAGGGGTGGGGGGTGGATGGGTGGAGGGGTGGTGCGGGGGTGGTGGTGGTGGTGGTTTGATGGCAGACCTCTTGCCTTGCAGGAGGCCCTAGGTTCCATTCCAACACCACAAAAATAAAACAGAACAACAAAAGATGATGGGGAAGTGTTGGGCCTCCACACCTACTTTAACAGCCCCAAGCCTGCTGTACAAGTGGGCTCTAAGAGTAGGTCTCACTATGGGAACCTGAGGCCCAGGAACAATCCAATCTCCATGGACAGGAAGTTGTGCCACCCTGTCCTGGGATCCCACTTGCCAGCTGCCACAGCCACACGTCCACATCCTGTCTTGGGCCTTTGCTGCTACCTTGTCCATGGGCAATGACCTGGTGGGAGACAAAGCAGAGTTTAGGGGGTGGGGGTCTTGCCTCATCTAGGAGATAGCCCTGACCCTGGTTCTCAACCACGATGACCTTCAAGGGGCAAGACGGGGCTGTGCTGCAGCCTCATATATGACAAGGCTTTACTTGTCAGGGATCAGAAGGGAGGGTCTCTGTCACCAGCCTGGCAGCAGGGGCTGCCTGCTCGTTATGCATAATCGCTCATGATCACACACACACACACACACACACACACGCATGCACACACACACATGTCCTCCTAGTGCGTGTCACCAGCTCACATTCAGATACTCTCACCCCAGCTCCTCAGCTTTCCTCCACCCTTCCCGTGAGACGTTCCGAGTGTGACTTGAGAAGGAGAGAGAGCGGTTAAGGCCCACCGGCCTTATGACCCTTGAGGGCTGGCTGGTGCTCCCGCTGGCTGTAATGAGGGAAATAGATATTTTTCTATGGAAAACTAGAGCAGGTAGATGGGGGAGGAGAGGAAGCCACTGCTATGGTTGTGATGGGTGAAGGGGCTTCAGGTTTTATGTTCCATTATCACAGCCTCTCATAAGCTTTGGGTGTCCCTGGTATTGGAAAAGTAGTCCAAGCCTATACTCTGTGGGCCTCCTGTCCTGGGATGAGAGTTTTCTTTTTCCTCCTCCTGCTCTTCTTTCTCTCCTCTTTTCCCTTTCTTCTGCCTCTTCCTCCTCCTCTTCATCATCATCACCCCCGTCACCACCACCACCATTTGTGAGTGCATGGTGTGTATGTGTGGGCACACATGCATTGGTGATCAAAGGATGACCGAAATTGGTTTTCTCTTCCCACCTTTATGTGGCTTCCAAAGATCAAACCCAAGTTGCCAGGTTTGCAGAGCAAGCACCTTTATGCATTGAGCCATCTTGCTGACCCGGAGTGACTATTTCTAACCCTGTAGGCTGTGCTGTTGGCAAGTTACTGCACACGGGACTCCCGGCATCCTTGTAGGTCTCCCTGTCCTCTGATCCAGCCTCACGAAGGAAGGATGACAGCTGTGAATGCCACACTAGCCTCCTCACTGACACCTGGGTGAAGCCCCACTGTCTCTAGGACATGACCCCTCCCTTAGTCTAGCTCAGCAGAGTTCCAGGAAGAGTTAGTGACTCCCCTGTAGCTCTGACTAGCCTCAGCTAGGGCGAGGCTGTTCAGTCCTTCATTCCTCCCTCAAATGCTCCTTCCGCCTTACTTCCTTCCTCCTGCAAACCTTTACGCTTGCTTGGGGGCTGGAGAGATGGCTCAGTGGCTAAGAACACTTGTTCTCTCAAAGGACCCTCACGGTTATAAGCATCTGTAACTCCAACTCCAGAGGGTTCAACACCCTCTTCTGTCCTCCCCAGGCACCAGGCAAGCATGCAATGTATTTACATAGTGCAGGTCAACACACATAAACATAAAAATCTAATTTTTTTATTTAAAAATTCTATATGTACACCACCTCCTCCAGGAGCCTTCCTTGACTTTTTTCCTTTATCCTCCTAGGATTTCCCGTGGTCTCTCTAGTAAATAAGCCGTCCCATGACCAGCAGCTATGAGTTAATTTGTCCATAGCAACTGTCTTGTTCTTCCCGAAGCCTAAGGCAGCAGCAATAGTAGATGAAAGGTCAGCTTCTTATCGTCGCTACACATTGCTGCCCAGTCCTCTGCCAAATAACTCTTTTCCTGCAGCTTCCAAGATCCCATGTGCCAAAAGCCCAGGGGTGGGTAAGTGACAGACACCCAGGAAGCCGGTAATGAGTGAAGAACCTCCTACTCTGAAAGTGAAGTGTCTGAGGGACCATGAAGCTACCAGAGACTTCCAGCCACAGAAACACTGTGACTCTCTGAGACAGAGAGGGAACAGGAAGGTTATTCTCTTGCTTCTCTCTCTCTCTCTCTCTCTCTCTCTCTCTCTCTCTCTCTCTCTCTCTCTCTCTTTCTTCGCTCTGTGTCTCTCTGTGTCTCTGTCTCTGTCATACACACACACACACACACACACACACACTCACTTCCCACTTCCCAGGTGCCAGATGAATAGATGCCGAGGGCCCTGAGCAGTATTACCTGGGTCTCATAAGTGTTCCCAAACAGGCTGAGGGATGTGCCTGCCTGAAGCTCCCTGGAGTGACCACTCAGCCATGCCTTCAGCGACATAGGCTCCATGACGGATCGTGTACTCAGCGGGAATGGCGGCTCCTTGAGCAGCTGGTCTGTGCCAACGACAACAGTGACGAGCAGTGACCTCCAGGCTCAGCCCACCCAGCCCAGGACAGCCGGGTCCCAGGAGCCCTAACTCAATAGCAGATACGGGTCTTAGGGGCAGCCTCATGGTTGAACAGCCGCAGGGGGGTGCTGCTTGGTGTCATTTGCTCAGAACTTGAAGTTCTGGACAGAGGGCTCAGGAAGAGGCTCCTGACCAAGACACTCTGCTCCACTCCAGGGCAGGACAGAGGGAGAAAGGGAAGGAAAATGTGGCTGTCAGAGGTCTCACCAGGGTCAGGCTTTCCTGTTCGGTACTGCTCAGAGTGGAAGAACCTGTAAAGACAAACAGACGGTAGGGAATGGCCGCATTCCTGTCACCATGCCAATGAGGCATATACCACACCCAGGAGCCAGGACACATTCACAGACCCTCACATGACTTGATTACCCATCATGCTTTCCCTCCCAACCCTGCAGAGCTTCTCATCCCATCCCAGAGCTGGGAGACTCCCTTTCACTCTCAGACCTGACGGGTCCAGGTCAGTGGGCATTGCGAAGCTGAAGGTCAGTGAGGGGTGGGGCCAAGCTGGCGACTTACTCTTGGATGATGGGGGCCAACTGTGTTCCAAGGTCCTTGCAGTAGAACCATTTCTCAAAGAGGACATTTGCAGTGTCCCCTACATAGTACCTGTCAAAACAGAGGTGAAGGTAACCACACTGCATCGAGGCAGCTTTGGGGCAGCCTGGTCCAGGATGGGCTCTGCTTACGGGCTCTTTACTGTTTTGTCAGAAGCAATGATTCAGTGGGGTCACACAGCCTGAATGTCCCAGGGCAGGCTACACTCAAGACAGAAGCTTGGAGAACATTCAGTTCAAGTGTATTTGTCTTTAGCAAAAGGAAGTTGAAGTTGAGCCTGAGTTCCAGGCAGCTTGAAGTTTGTTCTTCGGGCTCTGGGTTATCATACAGGGAAACTTCAGCAGCAAGTGCAACACACACACACACACACACACACACACACACCACACCCCACCACACCACACCACACCATGAGGGAAGGATTTCTGTTTCAGAGGTCGGAGGTCACCTCTGCCCCTTGGACTTGAGCACAGCCCTGGCTTTCTCTGGCACACACACAAACAATCCCAGTCACCCCTGCAATCACCCATATCCCGACAGAGAGGGATCCCCTCTGCAGGCAGAGCTGTGCTGTCCCGCTAGCCCTCATGGAGCGGCCCAAGACAGGTGCTGGGAGCAACTGTCCACAGAACGCTTAATCCCTGAGCCAGTTCCAGATCAGTCTAGTCCTGTCTGGTTTTCAACTCCGCCTAAAAAGCAGGGACAGTCCTATGGAGAGAGACAGGCAATAGATACCTCATACACCCACCCAGCTTCTACCCTGGGAGGAAACTGGATACCAGAAACTTCATTACACGGCCATAGTGCCCTTAGGAATGGCCTTCAGGGTGGCATTTTAATGTTGAGCCCCTGGCTTTTATTAAAGGTCAAAAGCAGCCAGATGAAATCCGTTATTGAATTTGCTATAAAATATTATTGAGGACACCAATAACTCACTAGAATACCCTCCATAAAGCCCCTTAGAGAACCTCCTTTTATAATGAAGGCCAGCTATCTCCCTATACAATGAGCCATCATGCTGTAGACTATGGTATCACAATTAGCAGTATATATTTTTAGGACCCTTTTAACAGTTTAGAAATACTCATGAACTTCTTCAGTGAACATGTGGCTTCAGTTATTCAAACTGTGTACATTCTAGAAGTCTGCAGTGCCTCATGAATTTTTTCTTACATTTACTAATTTGTTGGGAGTGGGTATGTAGGCATGCCATGGAATGGGTTGTGGAGGTCAGAAGAGGATTTTGTGAACAACTTTCAAAAGTTTAGACCTTTTACCATGCAGATCCCAGGAATCAAACTCAGGGTCTCAGGCTTGGCAGCAAGAGCCCTGACACTGAGCTCTCTCACTGGTTCAACATCAAATCTTTATTTTTAAACCAAACAAAGCAGAACTTCAGCCTATGCATGCGGCAAGACCGCAAGGTTATGAGGGAGACGAGTGAACAGAAAGGCCACTACTTTATGCCTAGCTGGACAATGGCAAAGGGCTTTGGGTTCTGTTTTCTTGCGGGGAACAAGAGGAATAAAATTAAATTCACAAACTATAAAATCCTCCCCTTAGTGGCAGGTCATTTTAGGTTAGTTCATTTTGAATTTCTTTGCTTCTAAACTTTGACAAGAAATACGTGTGATTTCAACTCATTGGAAAATGAGTGTTTAAAGATGTCTAGTATAGAGGAAGTATTTAGAGGACTGGAGGTGGGGCCTAGAACCTAGGAAGGGTGGAGTCAGTAGGTATGGGATGGGCCTAAGCACTCAGAGGGGAGGGACTTGCATACCACAGACACACCCCTCTCAGTCGCCATGTTGGCTGGCGTGTAAAAGAAAAAAAAAGGAAGAAAAAGAAAGTGAAAAGAAAAAAAAAGACATGCCTATTATAACAGAATATGTAGGACAAAGAATTCTGATTCTGGTTGCTGGAAAAGCTTTGGTCCTCTGAGCTTGAAGTATTCCTCCTTCTAGAGCACAATCGTCTAGCCCAGTGGTTCTTAACCTTCCTGATGTTTCACCCCGTCTGTTTTTTTCTTCCCCTGAGACAGGGTTTCTCTGTGTAGCCCTGACTGTCCTGGAACTCACTCTATAGACCAGGCTGGCCTTAAACTCGCGGAGATCCACCTTCCTCTGCCTCCCAAGTGCTGAGAGTAAAGACCTGGCTTTTCCAATGGTCTTAGGCGACCCCATGAAAGGGTCATTCATCCCCCAAAGGGGTCGAGACCCACAGGTTGAGAACCACTGATCTAGAGGCTGATGGGAAAGGGGGCTTCATAGGAAGGAAGATGGAGTCTGACTCTACCCTTCCACCTTGCTGATCCAGCATGCATGCTGGCTTTGTATCAGTAATGCCAGGTCTGCTAAGTTATTATACCCGGGCCTATTTTCTCCTCAGTAGCCAGAGCTTCAAAGAGAGCAGATGGTAAAATAGCCCTCAGCATCATGCGGGATGTAGGGTAAATAAATATACACAGAACCCTCTAGCTGGTGCCTGGCACATAGCTGTTGCCAGCCAGATGTCCATGCTTGTTATCTGGGGTAGAGACACAGGTACATAAGCACTGGTCAAGGATAGCTTCTGCAGTCCCAGGCTGCTAGAAGCAGTAGTATTTGCCTGTACCAAAACATGTGACCTTCATTCTCCCAGTCTGCATTGCCTGCCCCCACCCCAGCTTCCTAGCAGACCAGCAGAAAGCACAAATGCCAGTTCCAGCCAAAGACATCACGTGCACCCAAAGAGCACTTCCTCCCCCATGACCAAACCCACTTCCCCTCCCTGGTCACCAGTAAATCCAGGGTCTCCACTACCTCCTGTTGCCAAGCCCTTTAGTCTCTTGGTGGCCAGGAAGTGCCCTCTTGAGTCTATCACGGATCCCTACTGCTATAGTTTTGAACTATGCCCCTCTGCTGTTAGCCCTCTGATCACCCGAGCCCACAGGGCAAGAGCAGCGAGCAATTACCTCAGCCCATCCAGCTCGCTCTCCAGCCGCCTCCTCTCAACCACCAGCCCCATGGTGTTAGCAAACCTCTGAGGGGAGTGGGGCACCCTGGCAGGCAGGAGGAATATCTGTAGGGATGGAGAACAGGAGTCCAGCATGGCTGCAATCCCTCAAGGTGACCTCAGTGCCCCCCCCGTATGCTGGGTGACCCACAGGGCAGCAGGAAGCTCTGCCTGTTTACCCTGGACCCTATTCTCCACCCAGCCTCTACCAGGAAACCTGAGGGAATGTTGGTGCTCAGAGGAAGCCCAGAGGATGGACAGGAAAAACGGTTGGGGTGGATTTCTGCTCTGATGCTCTCTGCCTTTCTTTCCCCTGGGGTCAGCCTCACCTCTCCCTGCCGAATGACCACATCCCGGTGTTTTCCTTGCTCCAGGACTTTGAGAACCATGTCTCCCTCCAGCTGGTAAAACACCTGTGGAAAAACAAAATGCCTGGGACCTTCCTGCTCCATCCTTTAGATCCTCGGCTCCTCTCCAGGACCTGAATTCTGTCCAGAGAGCTGGAACAGCTTCCTGAAGACCCCCGGGCTTGTGAACAGCTCCAGCACTGCTGCCCCTGAGGCCCCTGCACCCCCTGGTCCAGGCCATAGACAAAAAAGTTGGAGACATACAGGGGTCACATCTGGAACACACAGGCTATCATCAGAGTACTCAGGAGGCAACAGCACGTGCCTGGCTGGGAGGTGGGATGTAGAAGGCTGGGTAAGAGGATTCAGTGGCTCAGCAGTAGAAAATACTCCATAACATAAACTGGTTCACGCACATTAGAAATCTTTCTTTTTTCAAGGAAGGGTTCTTTTGGAATCTGTCTGTAGACCTGGCTGGCCTCAAACTCACCTTCCTGCCTATGCCTCCCTAGTGCTAGGATTAAAGGCGTATACCACCACCACCCGGCTGCACATCAGAGATCTAACAACCTGAATATCAACATTAGCCCCATTCTGAAGAAAATAAAGCTGGAACTCAAAGCAACTGGTCTAAACTGGTGAGTCCTGGAGTTGAAGTTGGGACTGTAGCCTGTGTGTGACTCTGGGAGCCATGTGTATTCCTCCGGTCATTGAGAAGCTCTGGCGCTGGGCTGTGGGAGTTGGCAGCCTAGGTGGATTGAGCTGATGGCTGGGCTTTCTCTAGGGAACTCCTACTATGTTTTCTATTCTACCTCTGATTGACAAAAGGATGGCCTTCAGTTTGAGGCCAGCCTGGCCTATAGAGTGAGACCTTGTCTCCAAAAACAAAGGAAGCAAAAAAATTAATCCCAGAGGATTCTAATTACACGGTAGCCCATATGTAACACAGGCGATGGTGTTCGTGGTTATGAGTGAGGCAAAGGTTTCTTTCTGCACATCTTATGTTTTCTACAATGAACCATATTTACTTTTATTATTAAAAATAAGCCATATAATTGAAGATGCAGCTCCATGGTAGAATGTTTATTATGCAGTATGTATGAGGCTCTGAGTCTAATCCCCCACAACACACATACACACACACACACACACACTGTGTATTATTGAATACAAATCAGAAAAACCTATTACGTTTTCTCATAGGAAGCTATTGAGCTTGTACATGCCTCTGTGTGTGTGTGTGTGTGTGTGTGTGTGTGTGTGTGTGTGTGTAGGGAGAGAGAGAGAGATCAATTTTCAGTATAAGTCTTGAGTCCTTTCATGATAGATGACAGAAGAGAAGAGGAGGTACCTCGGGGTTATGGGAGGGGCCAGGGTCCCCAGAACCTGCTAATATCAGGGAACCTTGGGAGAAAGGGGACAGTTTAAACCCTTTCCAGGCTGACTACAAAACATTAACAGCCACTGATCAAACTAGATGGCAGAGGTGGAATTTTCCTGTCTTGCCCCCTGCCCAGAGGCCTTCCCTGTGATAAGGGGCGGGCTGCAGCAGAGGGCATTGCCCTGACAGCAGAAATCACCATCAGCCCTGGGCAATCCAAAAGGAATTATGTTCCTTGGGAAGTAAATGATGTTTGAGGCCTAGGGCTGGCTGGAAGATTAAGTGTACCAGCTCACGCGGATATTAAATTGAGTCTGGCTTCTGTGCCCTGAAAAGGACTTCACAGGCAGGGGAGACAGGAACAGGTAAGGACCCACGTGTATTAAGTTTCTACCCTGTGCACATTGCCTTTTCCCATAGACATAGGACCCTCATCGCCTTCCCAGCCGATTGTCCTGATTCTTGGCAATCACCAGAAAAAGCATGAGGTGGGTAAGTGGGGGAGTGGGGAGTGTGGGTGCAGGGCACCCAAGGGCTGTTGCAGAGGCCGGAGCTTAGCCAAGAAGGGAAATCCAGCTCAGCCAGTATCCCACGTGCTTTACATATCACTCAGAGGGGCTGCTCAGGCTCCAGTGAGGACAGGCAAGGACAGAGAAGGTGCCAAGCCTGTGCTGTGCTCTGAGGCTGCCCAAGGACTGGGGAGGCACCGACCTCTGCCCTCCTGCCAAACAGTAGGTCCAAATATCACAAACCTACCTCCAGCTAGAGTTCTCCGAGCCACCAAGCTGTCCCTCCACATTGAAGCCAGCCCTTTTCATCACTCCGCCACCAGATGAATTCAGACATAGATTGTCCCTGGGACTCGTGGGCACTGTATTACTTAGGGCTATTATTGCTATGATGAAGCGCCATGACCAAAGCAACTTGGGGGTGAAAGGGCTTGTTTGGCTTCCACTTCCGCATCAGTGAAGGAAGGCAGAGCGGGAGCTCCAACAGAGCAGGGACCTGGAGGCCGGAGCTGATGCAGAGGCCACAGAGGGTGCTGCTTACTGATTTGTTTCCTTTGACTTGCTCAGCCTGCTTTCTTATAGAACCCAGGACCAGCAGCCCAGGGATGGCACCACCCACCATGAGCTGGGCCCTCCCACTAATTAAGAAAATGCCCAGGAGGCTTGCCAGATCTTACTGAGGTTTCTTTCTTTCTTTCTTTCTTTCTTTCTTTCTTTCTTTCTTTCTTTCTTTCTTTCTTTCTTCAAGACAGGGTTTCTCTGTAGCTTTGGAGCCTGTCCTGGAACTAGCTCTTGTAGACCAGGCTGGCCTCAAACTCACAGAGATCCATCTGCCTCTGCCTCCTGAGTGCTGGGATTAAAGGTGTGCACCACCACCGCCTGGCAAGGTATTTTTTCGGTAGAGACTCCCTTGCTCTCCAATGACCTGTGTCAAGTTGACATCCAAACCAGCTGTCACAGACACCCACCCACCTGAGCAGCATGGAGAGACCCTGAGATGAATATGCAAAGAAGAATGAGAGAGATGGATCAGGGGCAGGCGGGGTGGACAAGGACAGCAGGCTTACCCTAGAGTAGAGATGAGGCTGACAGAGGCAAGCAGCAAAGGCTAGCTGGGCCTCAGTCACCACAGCCACTCAGCCATGACCAGCCTCCCTCTGTAGTTTTAGATTTTCATATCTTTTTTTTTTAATCACAGAAAAGGTTTTCAGAGTTTAATGGTCGGGAGAAGGTGTGTGTGTGTGTGTGTGTGTGTGTGTGTGTGTGTGTGTGTGTAACTGGTTCTGCTCACTCAGGCCACTGCCACAGGGCCGTCACCCTCTGCCTAGTGTGCTGGTGCCCAACACACACACTGGGCACTCAGTATTTTCTGACAGAGCAATTCTCAAGGGTATATGTGAGCAGTACTAGATTGGTGTGGGGAATGTCAGTGATGCGGGTGGAGGTTCAAAGCCCAAAACCAGGTCTCCCAGAAAACAAGGGGCACCTTACGGTGATCCTTTCCCACCACATCCTGATCTATACTGGAGTGGTAGTGGTTGCTGTTGTCTCCTCCTGATGCTCCTCCTCTTCCTTCTCCTGTTCCCCCTGCTCCTCTTCTCTTCAGACAAGTGTCCTAGGCTGTTCTTGAACTCTTGATCCTCCTTACCGCGCCTCTAGAAAGCTGGGATTACAGGTGTGTGTCATCACACTTAACTTTTGCTTTTTGTAGGGTACGGCTTCAGTAAGTGAGTGGAAAAGCACAGAATTCAGTCTCCAGACTCCGACTCGTCGTAGCCCCTAGCAACTCAGGACTGGTCCTCTCCAGCAGTAAGAAGTGCCACCTTGTCCTGCTCTCTCTTCAGCACCAATCATTCTCTTCCCCCCTTGTCATCTTTCCACCCAACACTTCCCTTCCACTTCCTTGTGTCCTTAGACACTTTGCTTGCTATGTGACAGAGAGAGAGAGTAGGAGAGAGAGAGAGAGAGAGAGAGAGAGAGAGAGAGAGAGAGAGAGAGAGAGAGAGAGAGAGCGTGGCTTCTGGAATCAGAGTACAATGGAATCCCTCAGGGTTTGTGTCTCATATGCGAGACCAATCATGTGTATTCAGGTTGAAAAAGAAGTATCATTAGTATAGACCTCCACATGTCCATGAAAGTGGAGACCCCACAGCAAGAGCCTGTCAATCACAGGGCCTCCCCAGTAGAGTTCCCGGAGCACAAGGCAATCAAAGGTACACCTGCAGACACCCCAATTTTAAGGCAGCCATTTTTCCTTCCTGTGGCAGTCATATTTGCTCTTCTCTGGGCCACTCGCTCTAGCGCTGGGATGGAAGTGTCTGCTCCCCCAGAAGTGCAGCAGGACGGCAAGGGCAAGCATCCACCACCTACCTCCTCACCCTCCTCGATGTGATAATCCTTCCTGGTGTTGGGGCCTCCCACGAACATGATTTTGAGCTGCTCCTGGTGCCTGCGGTAAAGAGGCAAGAACAGGACCTGAATCAACTCCTGCGAACGAGAGGAGGAGAACAGGGACCTTTGGGTGCAGGAGGAGGCCTGGTGCATGCATCTGGGGAAGGACAGACCCCCCCCCTTCACGGCCAGGTTATTCCTCATGCATTTAAGCGTCACTTTGTGTGGTTCTGTGTCTCCATGCCTTCTGACCAACAAGGAAGCAGCATGGGAAAGCATCACTCTCCACGGCCCTGGGCCAAACTCAAGATCCCAGTGACAGGAGAACTAAGGGGAGACCTGTCGGGACCTGTCTGCTTGTGAGACTCGGCACCACTGGGGACCACACTCAGGGGACTCAGGAGACTGCGACATCTAGCAGGGGAAACAGACACATGTGTGACATGTGTTCCAAAACACAGCACTGGAGCCCAGCCTCCTGAGATCAGTTTAGCTTTCTTGCAATATTGGGCATGTTAGTTGACTTTATTGGTGTTTAGCTCCCTCATCTGGACAGGCAACTTTAATTCATATCATAGGTTTATTATTATTGTTTTTTTTTTTTTTTTTTTTTTTTTTTTTTTGCTCCAGATAGTTTTTTGTCATTTGGAAGAGCAAACCTCAACTGAGAAAGTGCCCCTATCAAACTGGTCTATGAGCCAGACATCTCATTGATGATTGGTGGGAGGAGGGCCCAGTTCACTGTGGGTGATGCCATCCCTGAGCTGGTGGTCCTAGGTTCTATAAGAAAGCAGGCTGAGCCAGCCAGGAGGAGCAAGCCAGCAAGTAGCACCCCTCCATGGCTTCTGCTCCAGTTCCTGCCTTCAGGTTCCTTCTCTGGCTTCTCCCAGTGATGATCTCATAAGCTGTTAAGTATAGGGGTCAGAGGACAGCTTTTGAGAATCAATTCCCTCTTTCTATCACATGGATCCTAGAGATTGAACTCTGCCCTTCAGGCTTTTGAGGGCAAGTGCCTTTACCCACTGATGTTGCAATAGGAGCGGCAGGGCTGCGTCCCCGGCACCCGGCCACCCGCATGGCAGGCTTATGTCCCGAAATAATTACACGGAAACTGTATTCTTTCAAACACTGCCTGGCCCGGCTAGTTCCAGCTTCTTATTGGCTAGCTCTTACATATTGTTCTAACCCATTTCTAATATTCTGTGTAGCCCACGAGCTGGCTTACCAGGGAGGATCTTAACCTGCGTCTGTC